TAAGAAGATACAGGGTGTTAAATGTAAAATATTATTTTAGTTTTTTTTTCATTTAATTCTTAATACCTAAATACAAATATCTACACAAAATTTTGGGGTTTGGGGTTCTTTGGGTAGAGGAATAGAAAATTTTTCACATTTTGGTTCATAGAAGGCGCTAGCTGCCGCAGATTGAATGTGTTGAAAACGACATAACTTTTTTGTAATTTATGGTATCTCATCTTTGGTATCAAATTCTTATTTTCGAACTCTTTTTAACACAAAAAAGGTATACTTTATGAAAGTAGCTGTCTTGTTTTCGAGATATTTGGTTTTGACTTACTCAATCTACTGCAGCTAGCGCCCTCTATGAACTTTAATCAAAATGTAAACAGATTTCAATTCTTCTACTTACAGAACTCTAAACCCCAACATTTTGTGAGGATGTTTGCATTTGTTAAGGAGTAAATAAAAAAAACTAAAATAATATTTTACATTTAACACCCTGTATCTCTTTAACTATCAACTTTTAGACTAAGGTAAGTTCGGCTAAATCGCAATATTTTTGCTTCAGTAATCTACCCATTTTGAAATGTTCAATATCAAAAGTTTTTAAAAAATGTGTTGATTCCTTCTTTATACCGAAAATAAAATAGAAAGTAAATGAATTCTTGTCCAAAACGAGAAAATTTCGTAAGTGTATAAAAATTTGCAATAAAAATATTAATACATAATTACATATTAAAGCAACACCCTGTATATTAAATATTCTTATTCTATATCGGAACCAGTTATTTTTACTTATTTGTTTGTCTTAAGTTTGTGCATTTTGTCGTGTTATAATATAAATTCTTTACTGTCGACTTCTTATGGAAAAAGAAAGAAACAGCTTTTATCGGCAAATTCATTCAAGATTTATTTTCGCTGATGTTCTTTGTAGTTAAATAAGGGATTTTTGTTATATAAATGTGGGGTCTTAGAACAGATATTATCCAACTACAGCGCGTCAAAAATTTAAAAATATAATTAGCTTTTAATTTTTAATTTCTAAACCGTACGAGATAATTTAACCAAATTCGGTGTTCATATTTAGTATGACAGTAGGTATGAAACAAAAATGACCTGCTTTAGAAACGTACTAGTGGTGGAGGTGTGGGTATCATCGACAATTATTTGCCAAAAAAATATATATAATAATATTACGAATAAAATAGTTCATCATGCGCCATTGTATTATCTTCACTTTTTGTTTCTTTAAACTTTTTTGTATTCCAAACCGATTAACAACAAAATTGATCCCTACTTTTATATAACAAAAAAAAAAACATTATTTTTGGTCACACCTCTACTTAAGAAACACTCTGTATGGGGGGAAAAGATATGTAATATTTATTTTTTGAAGACAAAGATTAGTATTAAAATTTCTTTTGGGTGAATTCCAAAATAACCTCGTGTGGTTTAAGTTTTAGAAAGCTATACTTAATTAAAACTTTCGGTATTGCGTCTGATATATGCAGCATACATGAATTTCAATGGAAATTGAACACAGTTGGGAACCATATAAATTTAGTATGTTTTGAACAGTAAATAACAATAAAATTTTACACTGCAACCATTCAGTTGCCTATATGACTGTAACAATGGGTCCTGCGCTGAATGCACTTCCAATTCGGAAATTGAAAAATTATTGACAATATTAATAATTAATATTCACTTTGTGAAATAAACTGGAGTGTATTATGGAGCTACACCATTAAAGGCATTCAAAAATTTATGTAACTAATAATAAATTTCCTCATTTTACGGACTTGAAATGAATCTCTATGGATGTAGATGTTGCAAAATATAAAATTTACATAGTTCATTTATTTTCGCACTCTATTTGTTTACTAGGTAATTTATTTTATAATGTTCCGTATAGTAAAGTTAACAGATTCGTATTTTCGAGTATGACTAATTTTAAAAGTCTCAGAATTTGTTGACGTTGCGAAATTAGAAAAGAGGGATCATTCACGTAACATTCTCCATTTGTTTTATTTTTCTTTCTAGGAAAAATGGTAAAAAATATAGTTTTAGGAAATCTTGCAATTTCAAAAAGTATATAAGAAAGAAGATATAAAGCAAATCTTCGTTTTTTAAAAGGAACACTCTGTACATGTGTCATTTTTTGGATCTCTTTTTTTTCTGATTACAATTATGTACATGGTACATGTCATATATTTACCTTGTTAAAATAAACCACTGCGTGAGTATATTTTCCCCTGTGTGAGTATAAACCACCATTTCCCAACTAGATAAAACCATTGCGTGAATATATAAACCACTGCGTGAGTAACCACTACATGAGTATTTTTTTTCAAAAACCAATGCGTGAGTGTATTTAACCACAGCGTGAGTGTATAACTACTTCGTGAGTATATTTAAAACCATTGCGTGAGTAACTACTAAACCACAGCGTGGGTATATTTTCCACTGCGTGAGTATAAACCACCATTTCCCACCTAAATAAAACCATTGCGTGAATATATAAACCACAGCGTGCATATTTCTTCAAAAATCACTGCGTCGGTGTATTTAACCACTGCGTGAGTATATTTAAAACCATTGCATGAGTAATTACTAAACCACAGCGTGGGTATATTTAAAACCATTGCGTGAGTACATAAAACCACTGTCTCAGTATATAAACCACTCCGTGAGTATTGCGTGAATGTATAAACCACTGCGTGGGTAACCATTGCGTGAGTATTTGTCCAAGAAGCACTGCGTGAGTGTATAACCAATACGTGAGTATATTCAAAAACCATAGCGTGGGTATATTTAAAACCACTGCGTGAGTATATAATACCACTGCGTGAGTATAAACCAGTTTTGCAACTAAATAAAACTATTGCGTGAATATATAAACCAGTGCGTGAGTGTATTTAACCACAGCGTGGGTACATTTTCCACTCCGTGAGTATAAGTCACCATTTCCCAACTAAATAAAACCATTGCGTGAATATATAAACCACTGCGTGAGTATTTTTCAAGATATCACTGCTGGAATGTATTTAACCACTGCGTGAGTGTTAGCCAATGCGCAAGTATATTTAAAACCATTGCATGTGTAACTATCAAACCAGAGCGTGGATATATTTAAAACCACTGCGGGAGTATATTTTCCGCGGTAAATTTTTCTAAACAAATTTTCAAATTCTCTATTAAGAAAAATATTTTATTATGAAAGGTGTTTTTAATACTTTCCTACTNTCAAAAAAAACCTATATAAGAAAGAAGATATAAAGCAAATCTTCGTTTTTTAAAAGGAACACTTCTGATTACAATTATGTACATGGTACATGTCATATTGCATATGCCTTGTTAAAATAAATCTCTGCGTGAGTATATTTTCCACTGCGTGAGTATAAACCATCATTTCCCAAGTAAATAGAACCATTCCGTGAATATATAAACCACTGCGTGCGTATTTCTTCAGAAACCACTGCGTCGGTGTATTTAATCACTGCGTGAGTGTATAACCAATGCGTGAGTAATTACTAAACAACGGCATGGGTATATTTAAAACCACTGCGTGAGATATAAATCCACTCTCTCAGTATATAAACCACTCCGTGAGTATATTTTCCACTGTGTGAGTATAAAGCACTATTTCTCAACTAAATAAAACCATTAAGTGAATACATAAACCACTGCGTGAGTCTATTTAAAACCTTTGCGTGAGTTCCAAACCACAGCGTGACTATATTTTCCACTACGTGGGTATAAACCACCATTTCCTAAATAAATAAAACCATTGCGTGAATAACCATTGCGTGAGTATTTCTCCAAAAAGCACTGCGTGAGTATATAACCAATACGTGAGTATATTTAAAACCATTGAATGGGTAACTTCTAAACCACAGCGTGGGTATATATAAAATAACTGCGCGAGTATATAACACCACTGCGTGAGTACATAAAACCACTGTCTCAGTTCATATAAACCACTCCGTGAGTATATGTTCCACTGCGTGAGTATAAACCACTGTTCCCCAACTAAATAAAACCAATGCGTGAATATATAAACCAGTGCGTGAGTGTATTTAACCACAGCGTGGGTATATTTTCCACTGCGTGAGTATAAATCACCATTTCCCAACTAAATTAAACCATTGCGTGAATATATGAACTACTGCGTGAGTATTTCTCAAGAAACCATTGCGTGAATGTATTTAACCAATGCGTGAGTATACTTAAAACCATTGCATGCGTAACTGCCAAACCAGAGCGTGGATATATTTAAAACCACTGCGGGAGTATATTTTTCGCAGTAAATTGTTCTAAACAAATATTTAAATTCTCTATTAACAAAAAATATTTTATTATGAAAGGTGTTTTTAATACTTTCCTACTGTTATAGACAAAGGACATATATTCAAAATAGGTTTTTTTGTAATACCCTGTACCCACATAAATGATAGTAACTTATAAATTATTAGATCTTTCGCTGTTTACTTTTTTTTCTTTCCGGATTTCTCATAAAAAAAACTACATCATGTTCATTTTATGACTTCCTGGGAGTCACAAATTTATTTCTTCATAATTGATAATAGAATTGCGTAAATATACACTGACTCCATGACAACTTCGACTTTATCCATTGTGGAAGGTCAGAAAATAAACCAAACTACTTTTGGTTAATTCTTACTTTTGTTACCTGTGTAACTCATGTATCACCCGGTATAATCTCCAGGGCGATGGAGAATCGCCCTCGACCCGGGGTTCTTAAATTACGCAGCCAAAGGGACGGATGAGTAACAAACAGAACAAAAAACCCATAAAAAGTCCACATAAAAAACCGCCCCGAAAATAAGCAGCGTCTTAGATGGTCTATCAGAATGAGATACAATTCCTTATCATGCCCTTTTCCTTTATAAAGAATAACGGGGAAATATGTGCGTATATAAAGGCCGGTTTAGTGTCCCAGATGATAAGATATAGGTGGGGAAGTGTTAATTTAGTGTTGGATGATAACTTACGGGCAAAGCAGCACTTCTCCGCGCGTATTGCGTATACGCAAACGCAGATCAGCAGCAGGAAGGCCACCAGCAAAGCTCCTGCTACGCTGACGAGGGTGCTCATATGGAGGGGCTCTGCAAACAGAAAACAATTGGGTTATTAGAAATTTGACAATATTTTATACACAGTTAAGTTGACATTCTGAATTCAAAATTCTTAATATTTTGGAAAGCTTTTAATGATTTTCTTTGAACATTTGGAGTTACAAAATGTAGTCTTGGTAGGCAAATAATAGTCACAACTTTTTTCTTACTGTGTAGAAATAGTGATTTATACCATAAAGGACGTAAGTATTATTTACCAGTCGAGGACGATTTTGCGCCCGAGCGGAACGAGGACTGGCAATAGATGCCGAGGCTGGCAAATTATACTTAACTGCTGCGTGGTGTATAACATTTTATCTGCTCCTACTGTTCTTTATGATATGAAATAAAGATTAGGTTTTATTTTTTGACATGTTTTAATCAATACATTTTGATATTATTCGAAATCTTGTAAGGTCGCCTTGGTTGTATGGATTTTGTCGCTTCTAAGTTGTTTGTGAACAAAGTTATATAAAAGTTGCAATTTTGCTGGTTTTGAATTATTATTTCTAAATGAGTGATTTTCAAATAGAAAGTGCAGCAAATGCTGCCTGCGAGTTTTTATTGCCCGGGAAGTCGAAAGTGCGCTACGGACGAGCATATAGAAATTTCAAACAATGGTGCCAGAACAAAAATGCTGGGGTTTCAACTATTTTCATAGAAGAGAACGTGGATTTATCAAAATACCCCAAGCTGAGAGCATATTTAAAAAGTAAGAATGACGGCTATACACCTAAAAGTGAAACGTTTTTTACAAGACATCAAGTCAACGATTTTCTCGTTCATATTTGCTAATGAAGGGTAGTGATGGTCTTAGGCATTGAAGGAGCATGCCGTTCTGATGAGTTATACAAACTTACTTTGCAAAACGTCAATTTCAAAAATTTCGATGACATTAATGTAGTCCCAATTTCAGATGGTATGTCACGTATGTTAACAATTACTTCTCGTCTGGGTTGTGTTTCTCACCTAGAAATTCTCAAGAAATATATCAAGATCAGATTGGAAATAAAACTAAAATTTCACGCTTTTTATGCGCTATCAAGCAGTTATATGTTACAACCAACCAACCAGCGATGATTCTTAATAAGATTGCACAGTTTTTGAAACTAGAACATCCTGAAACATATACAGGCCATTCATTCCGAAGAACATAGGCAACGTTAATGGCTAATACAGGAGTTGATGTATTAGCAATCAAGAGACATGGTGAGTGGAAATCAGCCACAATTGCAGAAAGTTAAGTTGCCGATGTTTAAATAACAAAAATGAAATAGCCACTTCAACTCCAGGTGCTAGTAGTACGTGGCATCATGCTGTTTTAATGAATCAGTCAGATAATATTGAGCCTCCGGTGATTGAAATGGAGCGGTCAAATCATTTTGAGAAAAATGTGACAATTAGTAAACGCGAGAGGAATAATTTATCCAGATTTTATAAATGTTACTAAATGTAATAACTGTAATATACAATAATGTAATAATAATACAATTACTGTAAATATTCATTCATAATAATTAATAAAATGTAATGTTCATCAAATATTTCTATTTATTTGTTCATAAAATATGCATTATAACTCGAAATCGCTTTTTTCCCTAGGGAGGTAAGTTACCTCACATACCTCCCGTTGTCCAAAGAAACTTCCACTTCTACGGTAAAATCCACATACCTCCTTAGAAGTGTTATTTATTATAGTGGGAGCAGATAAAATATTTTTCACTTGGCTTTTTTACATTTATAAAATATCTTAATTTTATGTCGCGAAAAACCGTTTTCGATTTATTTGCTGTTTTTTAATTTCATGTAATTTAATACCTACCACAGTTAGCTTCCGTTATTTTGCAACAAAACGTACTATTGACAATCGCTTACTCAACCTATGTCAAGATCATTATTTTAAAGTGTATTTTAGTAAATCTATGAGTAAAACTTTAATAATATCGTCTGAAATATACCTTCCCATTTATTTTGAAACGAAAAAATGTGAATTTGTGCAATAAAAAATTGTAGTGGACATTGTGCGTGTCGCAAGTATTCAAAAGCTTACCCAAACAAATCTTTATGAGATGCTGTCCATCCACAAAACATTGCTCCATAAAAAAGGGAGATATTTTGTTTCATGTAACAGAAGTAATTTTGGGAGGAATATCTCCAGCTGTAGGTCTACTTAAATCATCTATTCATAGATTATTTCATAATGAAGTAATAATGTACCTGCATCACTTTACCCCAGTGTAGAATTTACAACTATAGTAGGATCATATTCGATGCAAAGTAATAAATTATTGCCTGTCAAGTGATCCAGTGAAGTACGCTTTTAAGGGTTTTAAAAATTGAATAATTTCTTTATACGTTATGAAGGGACAAGGGGATCAGTTCACGTCTGGCATCCTTGTTCCTACAAAAACTCCTTTATTCTCATAAACTATTTATTTTAAATGTAATTTATTATAAATCCAATTTGTTTTTTAAATTCCACATATGTNATAGTTTTGGATTTATTTGCTGTTTTTTCATTTCATGTCATTTAATACCTACCACAGTTAGCTTTCGTTATTTTGCAACAAAACGTACTATTGATCATTATTTTAAAGCATATTTTAGTAAATCTATGAGTAAAATTTTAAAAATATCGTCTAAATTATGCTTCCCCATTTATTTTGAAACGAAAAAATATGAATTTAAGCAAAAGAAAATTGTAGTGGACGTTGTACGTGTCGCAGGTATTCAAAAGCTTACCCAAACAAATTTTTATGAGATGCTGTCCATCCAAAAACATTATTCCATAGCAAAAGGGAGATATTTTGTTTCATGTAACGAATATCTAGAAGTAATTTTGAGATGAACGTATGCGGCTGTAGGTCTACCTAAATCATCTATTCAAAGATTATTTCATAATGAAGTAATTTAACCATATCACTTTACTCCAGTGTAGAATTTACGACTAGTTGATTTTCCAGCTAGCGTAAATAAAACTTTGCCTTCTGTTCCTAGACCAGAAAAATGAAAATCTGAACCTTTTAAATAAGCAAAAAAATTTAATTTTCAACATGAATTTAAAGTTAACATTTGTTCACCACTATTGGAAATCAGTGTCAGGCTCTGTTGAATAATCAGATAATTTATATGGCCGCTCGTACTTAATTTCTGTACATTTGCGAAACTATCTTAACGCGCAATTTCCCCAACGACGGGTAGGCCGTGGCAGCACGTTTCTCAGATTTAAATCCAATAGATTTTTGTCTTATGGTAAAGAAGTGCAAATGCTACCAATTTAATAAGAAATTAAGAAATGTTATTTAATATTATACAACCTTTTATTAAACGGACAAGAATGTGTAATAATGTAAACGGGGTTTATGTTGAGAATTTATTGTAGTGGGCTCTAAGTAATTAATTTATGCTATTGATAAAAATCTTTAGCTGTAGTTATAAAGGTACAAACTATGTCTTGAAAATTAAAAAAAAAACGAAAAAGNATGAGCCGGTAACAAAACAAATTGCACTGATATTTGCTGATATTATTGATAGTTATTTATTAAAAGGTTAATAGGTTGTTTCTGTTGTTTGCGTAGAGGATATTTAAATTGTTTGTGATACGTAATTTCCAATATTTCGCCTGTAAACTAGTGATAAAGTGGCAAGAACAAGTGGTGATTTTGTTGTGCGGGGGTGTTACACTTTGGCGCTTTTTTTGCTTTAGTTTTAAGTTACAGTGGATTATTTTAAGGCACAATATTGTGTTTTTTCTTAGTTGTTTAATTCTATGTCGTTATAAGTACCGGAAATTATTAAAAAAAAAAATAGTGTGCTTCTGTAGTGTGACAAAATAGGTTAGGTATTTGTCCTTTGGGGCTAATTTTGTTGTGTTTACTTGTAAAAGAAATAAGTAGTGTGAACCTATTTCAGGCAAATAATGATTTTCGCATTGAATTTTTTAAAAAGTTTATAATGGTTAGATAGGTACTTGGCAAAAACTTAACAACAATGGTCGTCTTACAAATGATACCTATTCAGCACTTCGTCATAGTACTTCTGTCTTACCATTTTTCTGTACATTTCCGAAACCAACTTAACGTGCTATTTCCCTAACGGTGGGTAGGCCGAGGCAACACGTTTCCCAGATTTAAATCCAATAGTTTTTCGTGTTATGATAAAGAATTGCAAATGCTAGCAGTTTAATAAGAAATTAAGAAATGTTATTTAATATTATACCTTTTATTAAACGGACAAAAATGTGTATTAATGTAAACGGGGCTTATATTGAAAATTTATTGTAGTGGGCTCTAAGTAATTAATTTATGCTATTGATAAAAATCTTTAGTTAGAGCTATAAAGGTACAAACTATGTCTTGAAAATTAAAAAAAAAACGAAATAGGCAAATAAATCGAAAACGGTTAAATTTTGCGATATAAAGGTAGTGTCTTATTTGTGTAAAAATCTAAGAGAATAATAATTTTATGTATAATAAAACTTTCATACATACAGTGAGAAAAAGTTCTGACAATTTTTATCCAAGAGCATTTTGTAGCGTCTATTACAAAATTAAGTACGAATTCGTTTTTCTCTTCCCAGAAAACTACCGAACACAACATTTCATGACAATTTATTGAGAACTTTCTAAAAATTTAAGAATTTTAAATTCAAAATGTTGACTGACATTCTGTATCAACTTTTGGGCTAAGGTAAGTTTGGCTCATTGCATTATTTTGGGAGTAAATTCTGTTTCAGTATTCCGTTCATTTCAGAACACCCTGTATATAATGTGTTCTAAGTAGGTGCAGAAAATCCAGGAACGTATGCTATGGCTAAATAAAGGTATTTGGTTGAATAGACATAGGGTCCCATGATAGTCGTTTTCCAGCTACTAATTTATTTAAATAATTTTGTCGTAATCGTTCAGATATAATTATTACATTAATAAAATGATCTTTTATCTTCTAGGTAATAAATCCAACCAATTATGTCTAAAGGACGGGTCTAGATA